ACCTTTAAATTTATATGTATGTACCTCTACAGACCTATAAGCTTATGTCCATAGTTCACTAAACACCATTTAGCTGCCTTCCATAGAAAATGCAGGGTATATAACAAAACCAGTCCAATACAATAGTAGAGCGGTCTAGAGATTAATTTGGCGAAACCGCTGAGAGGGTTCACTACTGATGAGCCAAGCCCTCTCATTCATTAAATCATATCATTGCAGTAAGGTCTGTAGAGATTTAAAAAGAAACGCATTGCCAGTAAATTTATTTGGGTAAAAATTTTAACGATAGAGGGCAATAAAATTTAATTTACTAATATTTATCTATATAATATCATTAATAGATTTAAAATATTGTAAAAAGTGTGATCAATAATATACAAGAATTCTGAATATATGAAGAAATACAAGAGTATATATATTTTTTGATTATCCCTAGTACACGTGGTACAGGCCATGATAATTATGGTGGGTAGAAGTAGGCTACTGCTTTTACTGTAAGTGCACCACATGTCTACACATGTGAAAAGCAGTTCGACTTTGCATAAACAAATGTGCAAGAGCCCCGTTACAAGAGAGTATAATGAATATTTATTCAAAATGCCTCAAAATAATCACTCTAACTAACTATATACTTATGTATTCTGTTCCCCAGATATCAAAACTCCCTAAAATCCTCTTCTTTTCATAGGAATAAAAATTTGTAACCCCGTAGAAGAGCAGAAATCCTCAAAAGTTTGCATGAATATTAAAAACCTACAAAAAAATTCTTCATCTTACAATTTTGTTCTTCTTTTGATAATTTACTGCTCCGTGTGATTGTTCAACTTATGATATAAATGTTTTTGATTCTGTTGACACATTATGTGGCGCTGAGTTTGTTGTTGACACACTTTAAAATGTTATAACACCTTTATAAAGGTTGGCGTTCAGCCAACTGAAATGTTGGTAAAATAAATGATATTTTGATCCAATATATGCCTTTTTAATTAAAAATTAGATATACATGTTTATTCAATTATATAAAATATTTTAGAAAACGATATATATATTTTTTAAATACAATGTTGTCCCAAATGTTCGTAAACACTTGCAAAAAAACTGAATTTGGATACATTTGGATATATATTTGGAATTTGTTGCAGGTGTTTACGAACTTTTGGGACAACCTTATATTTTTATAATTTAACTAGCGAATGTACCCGGCTTCGCCCGGTTTTTACCCGAGTAAAAGTTTGACTAACGAACATTTGTTAAAATGATTCTAGCAAACATCCAATCCCTACTGAATCTATACTTGTCAAGATAACTTTATGTTTGATACTCTGCTCCACCTAGCTGTACCCGTTCACACGTTGCTGTGTTTGAACAAAAAGTCAGTTTTGATACCTCAAACATAATTTATTAATTATCAAATGTATACAATACATCAAAATGAAAATTAACAATAAAATTATCCCTTCATATATGTCATTTGACTATGTACAAAACATAGATATACATAGTTGATGGTAGAATAAACATGCTTCTTCACTTGTGATATTAAACAATATTGCAAACGAATTTCAATTGAACAATAATTTTATATTTATTAAATATCTTCATGAAATGAATGATATTCGATGATTGATGGTGAACTTTATTATTAGTAGTGATAGAATCTCAACTCTAATTTTTTAACAAATTTTTCCAAAACCTTCCCGTGGATATATATTTCTAATAACTTCCCAAATTTTCACGGCGATTGGATGTATCGATTTTGAATCTATCGAGTACAGACAGACATTCATTTATATATATATTATATAATCTAAAAATGCAAATATTTTATTTTATTTTAAAAACATATATTTTATTTTTCATTCATTGACTGTTATACATTTTTGACCATATATTCAAAATAATAGCACTTTAATTATTGTTGTTGTAAATATGTAAAGTGAACCCTACCTTTTCTAATGAAAATCACGAATATAGAATTCATTTTCTAAATTTTATATTACTGTGATATAAATAATTTTATGTATATTTTTACTTCAAGAGATTCAAAATAAAAATCTGCTTGAAAGGTAAATAATAATTTTTATTTTTCCACGACTGCACCTCTTTTCAACAATCAAACACACAAAAAATTTCTAATCTATAACATATATATATATATTGATTTTGTAAAGAATGTCTTAATGAAAATTATAGATTATATTATCACACATTTATATATTTAATACCAGTTGCAAATAAGACACGCTATATCTGATCTGGATAATTGCGCGTGAAACTATTTACAATAATTCATATTGTAGTAGAGTAGGTAACAGAATTGTCAAAAAGAACATAAACACATAACACTAGCGCGCGCGCGCTCAAATACAATTTGTTTCTCTCTCTCTTAAATAACTTTTATGTATTAAGCCTAATTCTAGTAGAGAATGACATTAATGTAGGTTGGATTGAATCAAGTAATGGATTTTCGATTCTCAAAGGGCTTTAAAAAAAGGACAAACTTGGCTCAAAACTTTTCCACCTTCAAAGAGACGACAATAAGTTGCCGAAATATCGAATGACTTGTTGAAGATTGATGAGTTGACAGCTTGAATTAAGTCTATTCGGCCATTGTGATAACTCCAAAACTCATCAACACAATCGACACAACCTCTATTTCTTCTATTTTCGCCTTCCCATCTAGTTCATTCATGTCTTTTGATAAGTCAGGTCATGTTTTCAATCTATTGGTTGCCTCAAATCTCAGGTACCATAAAAGATAAGCTTTTATTTGAGAAAAATAGCTATATTAACTATTGGGAGAGGAGGAGAGTGACAGAGGTCATTGAAACGTTGAGAATTAAATAAATCATTGGTTGATGTAGCTATATTTTATCCAAACCAACTTCAAACCAACAAATGAACTTCAAAAATAAGCTTTTATTTTGGCAAATTCAACTCTCTTCATTGCACACCAACACCCCATATATCCATCCCTTCACATTTGCATAATCCTTATTTTCTCTAATGCCATATTTAAATATACGTACTTGTATTTACATATTTACGGGATTTTTATTCTTAAAAAGAGAACAAATCATCACTCTAGATAGAGAAAGTCATATTCTCATCATCAAAAAGGAAAACATTCACTGCAGGATTTGTGGAAATATGATATCTGATGAAATCTCCCACTATATCATAGAATGCAAATATTTAGCTGAAGAAAGAGAAAAAACTCTTAAAAACACCTTCTGGAGATTTAGCAACCTACTGAAGACGCTGAGAACTATTTCAGAAAAGAAAAATATAGAAAAGAACTCTATAATTTCTACAGATCAATTGTAAATAGATTCGTACCCAAAAGAGGTAGTGAGGAAAGTTTTAGAACAGATGTGTAAACAAATTCCTTTTCAAACAAAGGCTCTTGTGCACATGGGGAAATTTAGAAAAAAATACTGTATTATTTTGTTGTTGTGTGGCGAATCCATACAGGGCAATGGGCCCTAATAAAAGCCTTTTTGTTGTTGTTGTTGAACAAATCAGCATATGGAATCACTACAATTCGTATATATATATTGCGTATGATATTGTTTTTTACAGCACAATACAACAATGTTGGCAAGTGATAACCAACTGATGACCAAATATCCTTTAGGATATCCTGGTCTTTACAGCACTAATGAATCGGACTACAATTCGTAGAAACCTTGGCTTGGAATGTAAGAGAGATTTGACTTTCAATCAAGAAAGAATCATCAACTTCTAATGAGATGACCCATCCATGACTGTGCACCTCTTGCTGTGATTCCGGTTAGTTAAGGTTCTTCCAGGACACCTAGAGTGTAGTTAGTTACAGCAGTCATTCTGCATCTGTCCAAGTGATAACCCACCGTATCTTATATTGGCTCCACGTCGAACAATCATTGAAAGATACATCATGCAAATCTTACTTCACGATTCTTTCTGGAATATGTGCAATGATTTATTTAACTGAAATACTGGAATATAAGAGATTTTTACACACACAAAAACCTTTATTAAGGATCAAGCCCCATACAGGATTCCTCCAGTATAGGAATGGTTTTAATTGAACATAAATCAAGTACTATATACAATTCAACATGAGCCCCAAAAAAAAAAAAAAAAATAAAATAAAACTATTTACACTTGTTTCTCATCCTTCTCACAAAATTTGTATAAATCTATTGCACTGTGTCTACTTTTCATCGTTTCTGACAGCAGGGCATAGAGTGATAAATGATTAGCTCTCGTATTATTAAAAAGTAATTTGCTTTCTTCATCCAGATGATTGCAGGTAAATATATAGTGAGTTATTTCTGACTCAAAATTAACCCTGCACAATACACATACGATATTTTCTGATTTCAAAGTTTTTATATGGTCTTCAATAAAAAACCGGAATATAAGAGTTTTTTAGAGTCTAGAATCCACCCCCGCTCTCCAATGCCGGGAGATAGAGGTTTGCGAAGAGATAGATGTTATAATATCATTATTGAGTTATCGATCTATGTAATTGTAATAATGAGCAAGACTTACACACAACACAATGGTAACGTTGAGGAATGCCGTTACAACACATTGGGGATGGCGAAATGGCTAGCGTGAAGTGTGCGCCTATATATATAAATAGAAAATCATGAACACTAAGAGAAACATAATGATTAAATGAAATTAATATTTTAATTTTTGAGGTTTTCTTGTGAATATTCCAAATATTTCAATAAATATTTAAAATTTTTAACATCAAGATTTATAACAACTGAGCTTAAAAATCGGCTTTTAGGGCGTCATACACTTGTCAAAAAAAAAAAGGAACTGAGCTAACGAACCACCGATGTACTCGCTGGTGGGGTTGGAATTTGGCAAGAATCAGGGGCCATTGGAGCATTTCTTTTTTATTTGAAAAAAAAAAAAAAGTGTCCAATGCGGGAATCGATCTCGGGTCGTAGCGGTCAAAAACCCAACAGTTTAGACCACTCATCCACCTACCCGGAATTAGCTTAAAGCATCGGGTGTTTCCAAGTGGTCACCCTCCCATGTACTGACCAGGCCCGACATTGCTTAACTTCAGTGATTGGACGAGAATCGATGTTTCCAATGAGATATGGCTGTAGATAGATAGAAAGAGAGCGACCCGAACCCCGGAACAACCTTGCCCCACAATGTTAATTGAGGGATTGCCATTAAACTAATTTCTGTCGTTTCTGTGGTCATTTAGCGAGCTTCGAGGACACGCCATGTGTTGGAACTTTCCTCTTTGAAAGCGGAAGTAATGCTTTTTTAATTAATATTGTAACAAAGTTTTTATTATTTTTATTAACAGAGTGGTCATTTTTATGTTTATATATTTGATACTCTGTAAATTTCCCTCGTGGCTTATCTTTCGTTTACCATTTATAGTTTGTTCTTGCCTGAAATAAATTGTCTCCTCCTGAAGTTTTTGTCTTCCCTCCACGTGGCAATATTTACGCTATTGGTCTCTCTCTGCATTTCATAACGTATGGAGTTATCCTATTACACAAGACTATCACATCAATGCCAAAATCATTATCTGCCGAAAATTGATTTTTAACCAGTTCCTGTCAGTGATATTAATGATATCAGTAATGTACTTTCATTTATTATAGAAGACTTTTAATCGTTTTTTTTTGTCATCTTGTCAATACATGTAAATAGATAAAATTTTGTTTTACTGTGACGCGAATACACTAGAATATTCAACTTTTCTCCTACTCATTGACTGTAGCCAATGAAATTGCCTCAATTGTCAATTACCATATATCCTCTTTAAAACGGCAATATATATTTCTAATAACAAGGCAATAACGCGCCATTTATACACAAGGAATGAACAAATTCTAGCACGAATGTTCCTTTTCAAATAAAATGAACCTCTACTCTCCTAACTGCGATGATGAAATTTTGAAAGGGCTTGGCTCATCAGTGGTGAACCCTTCCAGCGGGTTCGCCAATTTAATCTAACAGATCGCTTTTTAGAGCTCTAACACTGTATTGGATCATTCTGCTTATATATGCTACACTGAAGGGTGGAATTTAGATATGATATTCAAGTAAACTATGGACATCAGATTTTAGGACAGTAGAATTACATATAAATATTTGAATCTACCAATACTCTTCCGCAAATAATATATATATATATATACCGTAAATATAATTTCAAATTTTATAAATTTTGAAATTCTCTTAGCGGTATTATTCGATACAGGATTAGCTTGCTGTTCTGACTCAAACTTAAACTCAAAATCTGTATTTTTTAATATATTATATTTTACTTTTCTCTACTTTTCAAAAAAAAAAAAAAAACGATTAATATATATAGATGACCGGCGACATCAAATACTTTTCACTTCCTTCATTTTCGTTCATAAGTGTATTTTGAATGATTTGCATAATATGAGTTAGCTCTCCGGACCAAAAACCTCCAGGTAAGTTGTGTCTTATAGAGAGTGGAGTACACTTTGATCTGTTACGAAAATTCGAAACTATTATAGACGGGTATGATTCTTTTAAAAATTAAACAATGTCTACTTCCCTTACTGCAATATAAAAATTAATGAGAGGGCTTGGCTCATCAGTGGTGAACCCTCCTAGCGGTTTCGGCAGTTTAATTTACCAAACCGCTGTACTTTGATCTGTACAATTTCAACTCAGCGCAGCAACGTTTTAACAGCGATTCCATTTAAACGCTAGATCAACATGGTATCACGGTTGGATGGAATTGTAGCTAACAGAACATCAGCTATAGGCTGATTGTAACATCTAGGTCTTAATTCATCAAAGCTGTGTTTGAATCCCGCCCAAACAAACAACCAGGTGTTAATTCCTTCTTAAACCCCGGGGAGCTAAATATTGACCCGGTCTTGTTGATTCTTCCAGGATCATCGAGACCTTTGTTTTAATCCTTGTTGAACCTTCGTACTCAGCGCTGACCTCACAACATTCCTGCAATAGCTTTCTAAGTGACACGACGTTTGACAAGTTTCCCCGCAAACGTCAAACGTCGTTTTACAACCATAAGCCTCATTATATTGTATTATAAATTAGCTTTCTTAGTGATATATATACACTCATGATGTGTGTGGACAACACTTAAGGAAGTTGTACCTTTCAACATGTATATTTAAAATACAATATAACGCGGCCGCGTTATATTGTATTTTAAATGTTACTTTAAGTATTAGTTACGAACGGAAAAATACGTCCAGGGTAGCCGAGTGGACAAGGCACCTGCCCGGTAAGCAGAAGGGTGTGGGTTCGATTCCCGCCCCTGGACACTTTTTATTTTTCCGTTCGCCATTACTCTTCATGTTTCACCTTTCCATACTTCATCCTTAAAGTTAGAAATGTCGCTATTTCTCTTTGAAAATAAATTTCGATTTTTATAAAAGAAACATTCGCGGTATATTTGCAATTTTCGTTTTTTCAACATGTATATCAGGATTCAAACAATAACTCTGAAAGATATTTGATACACAGTGACCTTTATTGAAGACACATGAGATAACCAAGTGTAAACAAAATTGCTTCTGTCTCAAAAAAAAAAAAAAAAACAGACAACCGGCTATATCAAAGACTTTTCACTTTCATAAGTTTTGTCCATGGGTGTATACGGGTTCAAAGCTACGTGAGACATAGTTTTACATAAAACAGAAGCAACATTTATACTTCATCGCAGTAAGGACAGTAGAAGTTTGATTGATATGTGAAAGAAACATTCGCGTCTTAATATTTTCATTTGTTGTATATAGATAGCGTGTTATTGCTTGATATAATACATAGGAATAAATAATAAATACGTTTTAATATTCATTATTTTATTTCACTTATATATTTTCAAATGACTTATTTATTACCAGTTGCAAAAATAAGACACGCTATATCCGATCTGGATAATTGCGCGTGAAAACTATTTACAATAATTCATATTGTAGTAGAGTAGGTTACATAATTATCAAAAAGAAAATAAACAATTATGAAAAAGAGCATTAAATAAATATATAAATTAAACAAATAAACAACAACATAAACAGATAGACGAAACCGCAAGGTAGTTATTGTAGACTATGAAAAAAAAAAAAGAGTTCTTGATGATTTCTATGGAAAGAGGTATTTAGAGTCAAAGGTATAAATTGTAGTCAAAATACGGGACTTGGGTATTTCAATGTGGTTTATGAGGAATTGAGGAAGTGAGCTGTCAGACTGGAGTGAGTCAAATGTCTACGTAGGACTCCGATTGTGATTCCAGATCGGTTACTTCTAGTAGAGCTACCTTCCAGCTCAAATTCCAGTTTTTTATGGCCTTTTTAACGCTTAGTTTTCATATTTCTAAACAAATAAATATATTAGTAAATTAAATTCAAACCTCCCTTTGAAAATTAAACGATTTATAGCCCGTCAAAGGATTCCATGGCTATTTTTCCGCGAGGATATCACGGGATTTTGGAACAGCGACCCTTTAAATTGCTACTTCTACAATGTTGGCATCCAAGACAATTTGGTCCACTATTTATTCCATTGCCCATTCCTACAGGAAAAGAGACTGGAAATTCGCGAAATTTCGGAGCTAACTCACTATAATGAACAACATGTATATAAAATTTTTACTACTCTCATGCTGGCTAAAACATTTGTTTATAAATATTTTAAAATTTTCAAGGCGATTGATAAAATGAGGAAAGAAGTGCTCAACTCCACAGACAACGGCTGATTGCTCCCCCTCCCCTCTAAATTGCTTTTCCTCCTCACTCATGTACATATATAACCTTTTAGGGGAATCCCCTTGTAAGACAATAGTGTCTTAATAAAGGTTTTTGTTGCTGTTGTTGTAAATTAAATTTATAAATTCAATTGCTATCTATCGATAAAATTTGAAACAAATAAATTTACTGGCAATGTGTTTCGGACGAGTGGGTAACACTCTCGATTCCTGACAGTCATGAACTGGGATTGAATCCCCCGTTAACATTTTGTTTAATATGTAAATAACCTTCATATATTATTCATTGTTGCAATTATCATAAACTAGGTTGCTCTCCTTGATCTGTACCTAATAAAGTGATTTTCGAACCAGAACAATGTGTTTCTTTTTAATAATATCATCAAATATTATCTCTACAGACCTTACTGCAATGATATAAGTTGAAATATGATATAAAATAAAATAAATATATATACACTCCTCGAAAGTATTTGAGAACTGTAACTACACTCATGGATAAAACTTAATGAAGTTGTACCTTTTAGCATGTATATCGGGATTCAGACAATAACTCTGAAAGATTTTTTTTTATACACAGTGGCCTATATTGAAGACATACGAGATAACCAAGTGTGAACAAAATTGCCTCTGTCTCCTTAATAAAAACAGATGACCTGCGACATTAAAATTGAATCTTCAATCAGTTTTGTCTATGATTGTGCAATCTTCCATAGTTAGAGTAGCAGCAATATTTCTTTGAAGTATTTTTTAGATACAATAACCTTAAATACGGCTACATTTTAAATAAATAGACCTCCAGTGATATCGAAGACCTTCTACTTTAAGTTTTGTCCATGAGTGTTTTCTATTATAGTTAACTTAAAAAAGAGGTTTAGTTAATTTCTTTTGAAAGACCCTTATACATCAATGTTCTAGTTTCGACGCTAGGTGTCCTGGGGGGATAGAAGAGTGTTGCATCCAAATAAATAACAAACATGCTCTAAACTTCAAATACCCAAGACGTACAAACCCAACCAATAAGATAACAACTGTCTGAGAGATTAAACTGGTGAACCTGCAGTAAGGGTTCACCACCAATGAGCCAGGTCTTTTTAATATTTGTCTAAAATATCGGTTATGAAAGTAGAAAATTGTTTGGAGGCGTATAATGTGTTCAAATAACTATATTCATAAGAACCATAATTTACTCTTTTGAAGAATGGATTTCACAAAAGGCATTTCAAGGGTTTTTTTTTAATTTGCACATGGAGGGGGGTATATGCAAAGTGTGGCGGGAACAATACGGTTGCGTGGTGTATGGGCGGTGTTCATGGCAGGATCCAGGTCAGGTTGGAGTCGCTCACACATTGTCACCTGCAGTTGTCTCACG